AGCAGCATGAACTCGTGAGGATGAAGATTGTTCCAGATTGCATACCTACAAGGAACAGGAAGGAAGGACAGGATTAGTTTTACATTCATATATTAATAATTAGCATGACTAAACTCTTAGTATTTCCACTGCAATTTCATGGTGCGCAGACCTCTCTGGATGCATTTCTAAAGCAGAGAAAAGTACTGCAGTGGCTTTTTATCTCCGTTTTTCAGTTCAGCCACTGGAGGGCAACGTGACCCCAGACACCAGGCGGAGGCAGCTCTGCAGCCCGCAGGCATAGGGCGTGTCACCCAGCAAGCACTGCCGAACTGCAGGGGAATTTCTGCACGAGTCTGGCAGAAACTGGGCAATAACAGCAGCAAAGAAACATATGCTCTTACATTTTCCTTTTTGGGGAGATAGATTAAAAAAATTTCTTCCTACATCTAAAATCTGTATTTCTGTTTAGGATTGCTTCACGAGTTCTAAATCCATGGATTAGCCAAAGGATTTCTGCAGGCAGTGAGGCAAGGGCCACTCAGCCTGGTATCAGGAGAGGTGAAAATTTCCTATTGCTAAGTAAGTGAAAAGCCCCAGACATCACTGGAAACAGACCTTTAGCAGACCTTTCTGGATTAGTTGTTAAATCTGTTACAACAAATTATTTGTTTATTACATTTTATAGGACTATCTGCCATGCAGAGGCTGATTCTCTTTCAAACAAATAGTTGGGCTCAACTGAGCTCCAGAGTACCTGGGTTCCTAGAGAAGACCAGAGAGATCATGTCAGTTGTACTTGCTTTGGGGAAAGCAACAGCCCAGCAAAAGAGTATCCAATAGTGTTTGGATAAAAGTGAAAGCCAGTTTTTTATTAAGAGGTTGTAAGTGCCAAGTGGTTGCTGCTGTTTCAGAAGGGGTTGTCGCAGAAGCAGAACCTCATCCATCTTGTTCTCCACGTGCCCTTTTGTTTCGCAGTCTTTATCACACCGCTGCCTGTGCAGTGTCTTTGCTGGCAGCCATTAGCAATCCAGCTGTGTTTGCAGGGTCTCTGGAAAGCGCTTTCATGCAGCAGATTGTTCAGGACCAGCTAGCTGGGATAATTCACTGCATGAAGGATTTGCTTAGCAGATGCACAAGGATAAGCCTTTAGTATCCTCCCCTTCAGTTTCATCCTGCCCTCACCAGCATCGTGTATGTTTGCATGCACACACGCACATGCGCTGGCTAATAATCTAATTTAATCCTCACAGCACAGGATTTTGTTCCTTATCCATTCAACTGTGGGAAGGGATGAGGAGTCTTCAGCTGCCAAACAAGGCTCTTTCTGAGCTGAGTGGATCCCATTTTAAATTTCTGTTTGCCTGCACCTGGAAGCAGATTGAAATCAGACTGAAAGAATAAAATTTCAGATCTTTTGAAAAATATTTGCTTTAATTGCACTTTCAGAATGAAGCATTGTAGCATTGAGGAGGGGACGTCATGTTTTAAATATTTTAACTCTTGTGAGTTTCCAGCTTGTACAGCTTTGGGGGACAAAGCAGCAATGTGAAAGATGGAGCTTATATTTGAGAGGAAAGAAGGGATTGTGTTTGGTTTCTATTTGTGTTAATGGATGCTAACCCATTACACTAGCAGATATGTGACAGTGTCAGATGTAGAGGTATAATAATTTCAAATTTTCTGTCAGTTATTTTATGCAGAAATTCCTTGGAAGGGAGTCATCAAGATTACAATGATTTCTGCAGGGTTTTTTGTCCTAGACATTCAAGACAGACATTAAATTTTTTATAACCTTCTATTGAAATAAATGGCAAATTTAGCCAACAAAACACACTTGGTTTTAGGGTGAAACTGGAGCCTCAGAGCAATCCTGCTGTAAGCATGGGGCTGGCTGAAGTCACCCCCATGACATGCAACTTTTGCCTTGGAGCCTGTTTCAATACTAGAGTCCATCACTCCAGTGGTGTTTAATCACATTAGAGAGAAGCCGGTGCTATAATCACTGTGAGTCACTGAAGGCAGCTCTACCAACACATATTTGAGGAGAACTGAGATACCATTTAGCAATGACACTACGTGTGCCTTGGGATGATACTGCTCATTATATTAAACATTTCACTTTTTTCTTTACTACATGCAGATACGACAAATTATTTCTGCTCCTTTCTTAGGTCACAGAGGAGCTCATTTGAATAAATTAATGAAGGTTAAACTTGCTTGTGTTTATTAATTCTGTATGCCATTTTTACATGGATAAAGTGTTAAGGAAAATCTCCATTATCATGGAAGGATATTCTAGTAATTGCCTGTAATTATAAGGGCACTTCACTACAAATACAATTTAGGTACATCATTAGAAACTGACACTTCCATACTTCAGGATAAGAATGTATTTTAGAAAGAAGGACTGAATAAAAGGCATGTTCTCCTTAGCCTGACTACCCCAGGAGCTGTTGGATTCATGCCCAGCATTGACACTATAAAAGCCATTCAATTTATTTATGATATTTGGGGTGATCAGATCACAACTGCAGGTTATTCAGATAATCAGGCTAGAATAAATTAAGCTATATTTGTGTTATATCCTAATGAGCCAGTTTGCTGGTATTTTGTAGTAGAAATAATTGATTTTCTTACCTTATCACTGTAGGAACAGAAAGTATTTGGCATATGTATGAAGACAGTCAAAGGCACCTTCAAATATATTGGTCTTAATATACCTTACTGCTGGAGGAACTTGTAATAAACCATGCTCTGGGGGAACATGTTGCTTGGGAGGTGGGAGTTTTATCCTATTTGCAGGCAGAACATACTATCAAAATCAGCAGTTATTCTTTTTTATCTTGTGAAGCTAAGTTTCCACCTGGAAGAAATGGCTGGGAAAAGGAGCCCTAAGACAAGGGCATCACATCTAAGATTTGTATCTTAACAGGCTCCAGGTCAAATTCATCCATGGCATATCTAATTTCAATGGATACAAACCACATGAGATTTTAGCTGCTGTACTCTGGGAGTAAGGTTTTAGGTTTTAGCACACTAAAAGCAAGGACATTTTTTAACACAGGGAAAAATGCATTGTTGGCCTGACTCAGGCATTCTCTGTATTTTAATGCGTTCTGACAGACCTCAGTTACTGTATAATGACATGAAATTAGGAGAAGTGAAAGTTAATGGAACTGGGTGACCAAGAGGGATACATGAGAGACCCTCAAGCCTCGTTTCTTTGGACTGCTTGTTTGCATGCAGACATACTTCACCTGTTATGTGGAAGGATGCTTAAGGGGTTTTTTGACCCCCCCTGATAATTTACCTGGACCTAACACACAACCACAAACCTTCCGTCATCATTAAGTGGCTGCCTGTTGGAAGAGAAATCATGCTTTAGTAGTTAAGACAAGAAAACACTATGTCTATTCTAATTCACCAAATTAATTGAAAATTTGTGTTTCCAGGTGGATTAGCCTCCGGAATTTGATTCAACCCCTCTTTTTTCTTTTTCTTTTTTTCTAAGTTCCCTTTTCCATTCAGGATATAAATGTGCATGGACTAATCTAGGGATGAAAACACAATAATGTAACTGCCTCCACATTGCCAAGTGCTTGGAAAGAAGCAGGGAGGGCACTGATCCCCTAGATAATTCACTGCCTGGGACAAAAAGGGGTTGCATAAATGTTGAGACAAATTTTGTCCATCACAGTGGGGTGTGCATACTTATTTTCTCTCTGTAATGCAATGTAATTGCATGCTTCAGTGTGCAAGAGCACATTGGAGTGGCTTTTCTTAGCTAGTGTTTGCAGTTTCTAGAAGGTACCTGTGGGGGGTGGTTACAAGGATCCATGGTGCAACCTCTGCTGATAATCTAGCAAGGAATTGCAGGATCCTGGCTTTACGATTAAAGCACTGGCCAGAGGGACTAGAAGGGTGAATTCAAGGGACTTGCTGTGGATAAAAGCACATTCATGCTGTTGTTTCAGTCCTCAAAGAAACTGAATGGGGTGGGTAAGTCAGCAGGCAGAATTAGCACCTCCTCTCCCCCTCCTGAGATACATGGGCAGTCACACAGGTGTGCTTTGCCTGGTGGAAAGATCTTCAAAAGAAGTCTCTCACTGATAACCATTATCTTATAAAATTAATACCTTGCACCTCAGAAGTGAGAACAGCAAAGGCTAATGAGCTAATTCTCTGGGCCCACTATCTCCATCTCACCCTGTCACAGCAGGAAGCTGAGTGTCCTTCATTATGTTCTTCACTGGAGGTGGGAAGTCCTCAACACACATCTGCCACATAAGGAATTCTGTTCCCTTGGCTGTGTTTGCAACAGGCATCAAACCAAAAGCATCTTCCTGTTATTTCCAACTGTTGCACTTCCTGTTTGAGGGAATCACTTGCAGGTAGCTTTTTGGCTCAAAGAGCTGTTTTACTGAAACTGTGCAAAGCCTCAGCTAGGAATTTTGTTTGGGTTTTCTGAAGATCTTTCTCTCCTTAGAAGAAAGAAGATTTCAAATAAGTGTAATAAGACTATGTGGGAGAGATCCAAAGGTGTCATTTAATATTTAGACACCTTGAAGAACTGTAGTGGTGGATTCTCTTGACTTATGAGAGACATCCCTGAAGTACCCAAGGGTTGTAAGAATCTTCCCAGCACAGCTGTAAATATCAGCTCCAAGTCACAGACACACAAACCATGTTTGTAGAATTAAAAGTACTTCCTGTTTTGGTATGGAAGTGTGTCCCCCCCTATAGATCCTTGTGGCTAAAGCTAAACAGATACCAAATGAATAAAATGAAATCAAAAGTTTTCATTTGTGAGCTATGAACCCAGGACCCAGAGATATATGACAATTCTGGATAGGCACAGTTTAACAAGGGGTAGAACTTAGACCAATTTCAGACACACTTTAAGGTGGATCTTCAGATACAATGAATTCTAATAATTTATCAGCATAGAATGACTATGTCTGCCCCACAGCACTGATTTTAACACAAAGTCAAACAGAAGCATGAGAGCAACACTCCTGTAAAGCCACATATATCTTTATTCTCCACCCAGGCCAGCAAGGATGGGAAAAGGGAATGCAATTAAAAATAACAATCAGCAAACAGTACCTTTACCTAAAAAACATCCAGACTAGAGCAGCCAGAAACACACTCAACAATCAGAGTAACTGGAATTCCTTGCATTCTGACAGTGGCACATAAGCAGAAGTTACTTGGGAGTTTCTGCAAGCGGGGTAGAACAAGACAAAAACTTGTGCTTTTTTTCTTTTACAACAATTGATAATGATTATATATTTTGCAACAGAGAAATTGCTACAGAAGGTAATGGGCAGTTGTTTAGAGAAAAGTCTGAATTAAACTTTTACAAATAGCACCAGAACTAATCCCAAGCACCAGAACTAATCCCAAGCTTAAAATAGCACCCACCAAAATCAATGACAGAACACCTTGAATTTAGCAGGAGCCAATGCAAGCTTAGTTAAGTGTAAAGAAGTAGAAAACACAGGATGGATTGTCCCAGAATATTCTCCAAAATGTGACCTCCAAACCCAGAAGCACACCTGCCACTGCAGAGGGAGGGTACTGTGACTCCTCTGACACTCCTTTGTGTCTTCGTAGCAGTAAGAGGCACAGATTTGGTTTTGTCTCCACTACAGCCGGCTATTAGCAATCATGAAAGCAAATCCTGCAGCTCAGCAGACATTTTACACAGATGTATTCTGTAATGAGCTGGTATTTATCATTGAAGCTCTCTGTAAGCTGAAGGCTCTTTGTGCTACTGACCCCAGCCTTTGGTCTAGTCTTGAACAGCTGCTGTTTGGCAGTGACAGCTGAATTGGGTTTTCTCCCTCTGCAGCAATGCACACTTGCCAGCCATCCTTTCCCCAAACTTGTCTGCTGCATGTTAGAGCCAAGATACACAATCCATCCCTGTCATGCCAGCAGTGTCCCTTTAGGCAAAGCGTGAGAACACTTGCCAGTGGACCTTCCTTTTCCTTAATGCTTGTTAAGCATCACTTATTCCCACCCTCTAGCCATGTGGGAACCTGCAATTGCCATGTGGAGCAGTTATTAAGCAGAGTGGCTGCACTAGGTCACTACAGACTGCCAGCTCTGGCATGGCTCATCCTCAGCATCTCCATTAATTCAGAGGCAAATCACCCTGCCTGATTCAAACAGGCCTGTGAAAGGCATTCCACTGCTTGAACCAGTCCCAGGCATATGTCAGCCCTTTAAAGCCCACTAAACTACCTGACATTGTCTCACACGTTGGGGTCTATTTTTTTTTTTTTTTCTGGAAGTTGGTAATTGCTTTGAAAGACCTCACCAGTAAAAAATGAAAGTAGGAAGCAACAAACACAGCCTGGCTCTACCTGTGCCCAGGGAGCACCACTGCTTTCTCAGTTAAGTGTGGGGCCAAGACTGCTCTTGGTATTTTGTTTGTGCGTTATTCACTGTTAAGCCTTCAGCCAATGCTAAGAGGCTCCTTTGACCTCCCAGGGATCAAGGATGCAGCAGATACTACTTATTTCTCAGTGTCTGGACTAGAGGATCAGATGGACTTGTTTATACATCACCAGTTCCCAGATGTTCTAACCAGGACAGTCAGTGTAGTCTTGAGCTCAACCTTAAAATGCAACAGAAAGTATTAGTTTCTGTGAAATACAGCTTCTGAATGCTTCTTTTTGCCATCCTAACACTAGAACAGTTCCCCATGATAGGGAGACCAGGGAAGCGAGACACCTTCAGAGACAGGAGTGACCATTCAACTGACAGACTGTATGCCACAACTTACCTACCTACACACATGCAAATGGTGGGCTCCTCTGGCTTGGGGATCACCGACTTTCCAGCAGCACCAGCTGAACTGGAGCACTGAGAAAATTAACCATGTTTCAGATGTGTTACTCAGCCCCCATTAGAATTTGCTACACCTCTCTTTAATTTTGCTCATCTCCTTCCTAGGCCAAAACCCCAATAGTTGATCAAGAAAAAAAGAACTTTTCTGCTAGTAATTTTTTAAAGAGATAATTAAATTTTTTCTAGCCTATGGTGGCCACCTCAGCCTGGTCAGGAAGCCCACTGTGAAGCCGTGAAAAATCCAAAAAGGAGGGAAAACCATTACGAAAATAAGACACGAAGGGGGGGAGAATGTATGATCATGTATGACTTGTTGCTCTTCCATATAATTAAGCGGGAAGAGGGATGAGGTGGGGAAAGGCAACACAGATTTCCAGAGCTGATGGAAATTAACTTCTGGACTCCCAATTCTGAAAGGAGAGGTCCAACAGCTCTTCCATAAGAGCAAGTTGAAACCCACAATAATTTGTTTCAGAGCCCTTCGCATCCCCAAGAGCCTTCAACTCCACCTCCCTAAATCCAGGTGCTGCAAGTCCACACCTGCATTGCAGTGAGATGTAAATGGATTGCCCCTTCCTTAGGGACAGGCACCTCCTTAGGTGTTCCCTCCCTATAATGCAACCGTTTGCACTGCACACCGTGTATGACTCCTGTAGATGGTTCCTTCCTAGCAGTGCACATATCCAGAGATCCACTGCAGGTGTGTTCCAAGCACCTATCTGAGCACCTGCACTTGAGGGATCTCGGTGACACCCCCATCAGGTCCCCACACACCGCATTACAAAGCAAGCCCCGTTCTTCCGTCGTGCAATGGGGCTGTCTCAGGTCAGCGCAGAACTCACTTGCCTTTGTTGGCAGCTATGCTGTCCTCTCCCACTATTCCAGTGGTCTGTGACACTGGACTCTGACAGTGTCTAAGCAGTCAGCCTGCCTAAGTTAGCTGCTTTTGTTGGAAAGACTGGGAAAGGACCCTAAGAAAACTGCAGGAACATCACACATTTTGCAATTTAGCCTCCACCTCTGAATAGGTTCCTATCTCTTGAAGTTCATCCCCCAAGCAGAGACTTCTTTTCACTGTGTCATAGGTCACTACTATGTCCTACTGCTGAAAAGTAAAGTCTACCTTGACAGAAGTGGACTTTTCATAATATATCTCTGCTACTCTACAAACAGCCAGAGCCCTGCAGACCTGGATTTTCTTATGATTCCCAGAAGCCGTAATTAGCTACAACACATGAGAAATCCTTGGAAAGCCATGCACCTCCCCACCCAGAGCATGTGAAGCTAGCATTCTTGCATTCTGTGACATTCAAAGAGGACCCTCAGCCCAATACTTTATTCATTAAGTTTGTGTTTAAATATATATGTATATTTTTTTAAAAATCAGTGTATTATTTTCTAGGTGAGAACACTTGAGTGTGACCAAAATAGTCATCCAGGACAAAGGCTCAGACTGCTGAGGTCTCAACCCCCTGCGCAGAGCTCTTGCCAGAGAGACTACCTGAGATATTGTCAGAATCAAGCAGCTCGACAATGCTGTACGGAGAACAATCTTCCAAGCCCAGCTTGCTGCAGAGCCAGCCACAGAATCCTTTCTCCATATCCCTGACAGCGTGCCACCAGTACCCAAAGGACCATGCTACCTGGGCTACAGCTGAATACAGGCCTAGGGAGAAAGAAACAACCATAATTATAATTGGGTAGAAGATAATCAAAAAGGGGCAAAAGGTGATTTTGTGCCAGAAGGTCCTCTCTTCATTGTACACCAAGAAGATGTTGTACCATGTAATGGTTCCATAGTAGAATGAAACCACGAAGGACACTACAAAAATGATGGGGAGGCAAATGATGGTCCAGAGGACGATGTGGGGCCCTCTGTCTAACCCAATATCACACTTCTTCTTCTTCTCAGGTACATCTTCTTTAGGAGGTTCCTTTGACTTAGCCAGTTCCTGCAGCTCTTTATCCGTTAGTGTGACGTGGATATCCACCATCTGACCCTTCTTCTTTCCCCTGGTGATTGTTCCAGTCAAGGTGACATATCGGCTGTCTAAAGGCATGTTCCAGACACCTACAACACAGATAAACTCATCTACATCAGACTTATTTTCTGGACAAAGTATTTTGTGTAAATCCTCAAAGACCCCAAAGAAATTAGATAGTGCATATGGAGTTACAGTTAAAACTAAATTTAAAAAGATGGAAGGCAAGAAGCAATGCAGTATGAAGAAAATTATCACAGAAGAAAATGGAAGAAGAGCTAATGAGGAAAAAGACAGGAATTCCAGATGATAGAAATCACAAGGGAGAAAACTCCAGGATCTCCACTAGGGACAATTCATGAAGGGAAAGTGCTGCAACAGAGTAAGTCAATTGAAAATGGTATGCCTGTTTTCTCTGTTTACTTCATAGATTTATTGCTGAACAGCATGGACACTTGGGATTAATTAGATAAATACCACTGAGACACTTGTTTTGGAATAAGCACATCCACACATGGAATTATACCTGAATAGCTAGTATTTCACTTTACATTTGCATTGCATCTCAATCCAAACTAATTTTTGAAGGTTAGAAAAATTTAACAAACTGTCATAAAATTATATTTGCAGTCTGAGAGATCAGCAGAGGCACCAAACTGGACAGTGCTGGTATATGTGTTAAAGGTACAAAGGGACTGCCTTAGCTTTCAAGTGACATTGTTATAGGATGGGCCATGCAGTGGTACTGGCCATAAACTCTTTGGAGCTACAGTGTATTTCCTCCTGGTTTTAATTCTGACTAGCTTGGAAGAGGGTCTTCAGAAATTCTTAAAAAGAGGCTGAGCAGCTTGAAGTCCTCTGCAAAAGTAGGAAGGCAGCAGGTAAGTAATGAGGATAGGGTCTGGGATAATGGGGGAATCCAGTGTATCTGGTGGAACAAGAACATTTAAGCCCCTCTCAGCCTGCACTGCTGACTCACAAGAGTATTTAGCCACAGGACCTGCCTTCCACACTTCCCTGAAAAGGTACCCAGGGCAGATAGCACAAGTGAAAGTGATTCCAAGATCCCCCATGATGACCTTACCAAATAATCACCCTTTAAGAGGAAGCAGTGCTGAGTATATGCAAACAGAAGGCAACAACAAATCCTAGATAATGAGTTAAATTCCCTATCAAAGGTAGAGCCACTAACTCCATCTGCTTCCATCCTTTCACTTAACAGGCAGTTATTCAGGCATGGACAGTGGCTTGATCACAGCTTAGGATGACATCATTGGCTTAATGCTTGCATAGCACCACAACCAGCACATCAACCCCAATCAGCACATACATTCAAACTAAGACTGTAGCAACAACCAAACTTTACTAGTTTGTGAACAAACTAGCAAAGAACTGAAGGAGACATCCCAAATCAGCCTGTAATGCTTTCTGTTTCAGAACACTTTCATGTATGAACTCAAGCTCTCCTTGCCTGCAGTCTTGGAGAGGGTTGGTCCCACAGTCACTTCTATTTCACTTTAAAGCATAATGGTATCAAAAAAGCTTATGTGAAGTGAGAGTTCTCAGGACTACATACCATCTGTCATAGACTGACCCAGGAACTTGGAGCCTTCCTCAGAGCTCCTCTCCCCTCCTTCTTCATCCACCTGTTCTTCTTCCACCTTATTGTCATTTTCAGACCGATACACTATTATTGACTCGGGACGGGACTCTTTCTTCTTCTTTTTCCTCCGGTCCATAGTGGCCTCCCCATCAAAGGTCACAGTGGTTGCCACAGCCCTTCTCATTGTGCCACAGCGAGGGCTCTGGCCTCCGGACTTGATGTCCTTCTGCACAGTCTCCTCCATCCTACTGCTGCTCTCAGTCACCTCACCTGGCATCTTGTAGCACCTGTTTCCAATCCAACAGCACCAATCCTGCACTTAGAAGTCATTGATTAACAATGGTCCCATGGATGCTGTGTTCTGGTTAGTTGTCCCACTGCTGGTATCCAAACTATGCACTCCATTCCCAGCCTAAAATGAGAGAGAAGGCTGAAAAAGTGTCTTTGTCTTACCAAACAGAAAAGATTGACAGAATTTTACTAAAAAGGGTTACTTCCAAGTGGTTTAAATGTCATCTGAAGATCTCTATTACTGTCCTTACCATCAGTTCTCTTACATGGATACATGTTTTGTGGTATCTAATCTATCTTGAGTCTTAGGGTCCAGTTTTCACTATAACAAACCAAAGCTACTGGAAACAGTACTAACATTTATAAGAAGGGATTAAACATAGCCAGCTTACTGGATGAATTTAACATTCCTCTGTAATGCTGGAAACAGAAAACAATAGTTTTGGCCCAAATGCATCAGAATAAAGATTGAAACCATAGATGAGAAAGAAGTTAACTTAAGGGACTTAATTAAGAGGTTAATTTAAGGGACTGGCCTACAGACAACTGCAGCAGGAACACTGTGCTTGTCCAGCATTACAACAGCTATATTGGTGCCAGCCTTTCTCATTTTGATTGTCTAATGATTTACTCCCCTTTGCAAGGATGTTACAAAAAATAATCAAATTATGTCAAAATCAGTGATGTTTCAAACTGTAACGGTTTAGCAAAATGTAGTGTTGCCATACTTTAAAAACACAGAATATACAGTGGATTTAAAGCAAAATTATTATTAAGGTGACTTTGCTGAGAGGGAATTGGAAACCACAGTAAATTCTTCTGATTGCGCAGAGAAAATAACACAAGTCTTCACAAATCTTTTTAGCAAAAATGAATTTTTGTTCCTCATTCAAGCAAAGTTAACAGCGATATCAAGTGAAACTGTCATCCATGGGAAAGCTGCCTAAGTAAAAAACACATAATTAAACATGCATTGAGGCAGACAAATCCTGCTCCATGAATATGGAAAAAGAATTAATGGTTCTTGGATTTCATAACATTTAAGGAAACTGACTGTGCCAAGTATTCATGAAGCATTTAGGTACAAATCTGAATACAATGAATAACATTTTAACAATTCTGAAGAGCTCTGTTGAACATTTACATGAACATTTGTATTTAAAAGAATGCATGTGACCAACAATTATGCTTCTACCTAGTAACTGAGTCTTTCCTTTAACAGGAAACGAAGACACAGGTATCATAGTTTATAGCCTACATAATGCTGGGGAAAGAGTTTTGAATGGATGATAAAAAAAGTTGAGCATTTTTAAATTCAGCAGTATGGTCCTGGTCTTCCCACAGATCTAAGATTTTGCTGGTGTGTTTTAAATTTTGTGCAGAACTTTAGATCAACTATTTATGCCTCCTATGTTCACACTTACACATACCACACCCACACAAAACTTGTAATTGTATCACTTTAACACCTAAGACTGTGCCCATTTGGCTCTACGGAGGCTTGAAGAATTCAACAATTCAGATTATTTTTGTGCATGAGAGAAAATAAATCTTCTCATTTAGACACATAAAATGGACTTAAAAACCCCTCAAGATTCAGCATACCCCAGAAGCCAGACTACTTCTAAGTCACTGGGCAGACAATATTTTTAGCTCTGCAGCATGGCTGGAAAGAGTCTGTTTAGATTGCCATCACCTGCCTTAAAATATGTATGCCTAAATTAGCAGACATAGTGGAAAACACAAATTCATGTAAGCTTTTGTTTGTTGTTTTTTAAAAAAATGCCTTCACGAGTAAATGGAATGAATTTATGCTATGGAATAAACTGTCTCTTTGTAGTGAATTCATTCAGGAAGTACAGTAGGCTCTAACATTTTTCTCTGAAAATCAGCTGTAAAAATTCATGGTTTGTATCTATAAAACCCTAAAATTAACTGATTGAGCCTAATAAGCCCCTGAGATAAAAGTCAGATTCTGCTTCCAAAAGTGAGAAAAACAGGCCTGGAAACAGAGAAACCAAAAGCATCACTTCTGTAATAACCTTCTAAAAGTCTGGAGAACAGAAGTTTCTTAGATTCCCAAAGTTCCTGGCTGCAGTTGCATGTTCAGTCCCTACTGACTTGAGAAGGGAATGACTTACAAGTAACATTTAAAAATAACACAAAGCTACAAGCAAATATCTGTAGTTGGGCTTTTTTTTTTTCCTTTAAGTTGATCCAGCTGGGCCTTGCTTAAACTCACAGTGGATGATAAGCTAATGTCAGTTCTCAGTGTGATGCCAAAGCCCAAAAGACTATGTCAGCCTTGACTGTGCAAGGAGCAAGGTGATGTCCCTTTTGAATCTCTCACAGATGGGCACTGCCAATCTGTGTCCTGTTCTTGTGCTCACCACGCAGGCTGAATGCTGATTAATGTCCAGAAGATTCCTATGATCCTATACCCAAGTTATTTTGCTATGTCTGATGTTCCCACCGCACTATAGCAGCTACCGCCTCTGTGAGTTACCACCAGGACTGCAAACACCTCCACAACAGGGGAATCTGAGAGTGGCAGCTCAGTTTCTCCTCTTGCTGATAAAAGGAGAGGGAATGGGGGACAAACCCCTAAGAAGCACTGTTGCTGTGGCTGAGTCAAAGCCCTTGGGATAAGAAAATGAAGGAGGCCAGATTATTCTGTTTAAGGCACAAGAAGATAAAATCTGATGTCAGTCTGTCTACACCAAAACCAAAAGCGTGTAGGAGGTCCTTGTGACCCAGCAGAGGAGGATGAAGCAAGATAAAAACCTGAAAGATGCAAATACAGGGCAGATGTTAGGTAGGTGTTTTAACAAAGTGGGTAGGTGTCCCATGGTATCTATCACTGCATGATAAACTGTCACGGGAAACCTCCAAATCTGGACTGCCTATACTGGCAGAATTTTGGTCACCTGTACTTGACCAGAAGAGGGGAAGTCCTCTGGTTTGCATAAGGGAGCAGTCAGATTGAAGATCACAAAGATCCCTCCTGATCTTATGCCTGTTCTCACAGTACATGCATATTTTTCTCTCATTGGTTTCCCAATGAAGCAGCTAGAATCTCCTGCCAGCTAGTCCAGAACTTCTGAACACAGCACTTCAAAATACCACCATCAGCCCTACATCCCACAGCAGTGCTGCTGAGTTGAACAGGTTCAAGCTTCAGTCCCATTTTTCTTGGGAATATTTTCTCTGTAATTGTAAACAAGAAATGGGCTCTTGCAGAAATCACAGTAGTGTACAAAGAGCTTAATTTTCCTCTCTTCCTTTTCTTTACAACTTCTAAAGATAAGGCCAGCTCTCAGCACCACACAGCCGTCCATAGCACCAGTTCCTTCAGCCACACACCAAAACCTTCACCCTTTAAAAGCCTTGCTGTGGAGCTGAAACATTAACAATTGCTGTGCATCTCATACCAGCAATGCCTCCCACGTGGGAGCTCAGAGGCAGACAGGAATCTAATAACTGTCCACCATGGGAGGGAAGGAAAAGAAATGGTCATATTTCAGAGACAGCAAGGAACAGTTTATTAGCCAAACAATTTGTTATTAATCTCCATATGAAAACAGATGGAGAACCCTGGGGAGGCTGCTCTGCAAAAACACTTTGTCAAGTAATTTTTAGAAGCACAGTCTTCTGTTACTATGCAGGAAAGCTACGGCTGCTTATGCTTCCTGTGACAGTAATAGTCTTTGACACACAAAACAGGAGCCTAAAAGCTTGGCCTTGCACCATTTAGGTCAAAGGAAGCTTCTTCCATTGGTTTTCAGGGTTTGATATTGCTGCTAACAGAAGAGAAATTATCTGGTTTCAATGCAGATGGGAAGGAAGAGCCTCCCTGCAAGCTAATAAAATCCTTGATCTTAAATCCCTGCTACAGCACAAGTAACCTTTTTATGACTGCTCAGAGCAGACATGAGAGGAAAAAATGTAGACAGTAAGCAGCAAAGAGCATAAATTTTTATTTTTATAGTCACATAAAATGTACAACACATAAGAAGAACTGGCACAGCGTCTTCACTCACATCATGCAGGGGTTGTCTGCAAAAACAAAAAAACAACCTGTGCTTTAGAAGCACTGTGATTTATGCAGGATGGGGAAGAGATGAAGGGAAATCTATCCCAGAGACACACCTTGAGAGCTTCCTAGCCACAGATCTTTTGCTTGTGGCTTTTACTCCATAACCTCTGCATCCCCAATCCCATCTCCACTCAACCCCTACCTCTGATTTTGTGCATGTGTGTGGTTTTGAGCATGCATGTTACCCAAAGGATCTTCTCCAATCCCTAGTATTTTTAAAGGGGTTATCTGCTGGCAAACTGTACACATGAAATATAGGTGGCATTAGATGCATCCAGCTGTTCAGGACAGAACAGTCTGTCACCAAGCAATCGTGTTATGATGAAATGCATTGGTCTAATGCAGAACATGCGGCCCCTAGGCCCTAGAAAAACATGTGACAAGACATATATAAGAAAACACATTTAATTCACATATTATGTAGTAAAAGGGCCAAATGGTAGGGCTCCCTCCACAGCTTTGGATCTGTTTTAAATACCTAAATGACTCCACATTAGCTTTCACATATGTATCCTCACCTGTTAAAACAGAGGATGTCTGTTTCCTCTTTATTTCATGGTGAAATAGCTCAAACTAGATTGTACAGTTACTTGACTCTAGCAAATAATCAAAGCTGTGATGAATGAATTAGACGGTGAGGCAAGAACAGCTCCTCCCTATCAGTACTAGGGTCTGTGCAGCTTGTGGTGAGCTTGACAGGGGGATTTATCTCACTGAAAATAATAAAATGTTATTTTTAGCCATACAGATTCTTCACCAAGCAGCTCCTTCTACAGGAATGAATGTCTAAGAAAGGAGGGAAAAACTACCCCTCCTGGCAGTGGCTGATTTTAGACTGCATTGTCTGTGTGACAACAGCAAGAAATACAAAGGAAAACATCTACCTCTGCCACCCCAGCAAGGTAAAAGAAAGCAAACACCAAAGGTCAAAGTTCACACACATCTTTCTCTCCCTGCTTAATCCACAGGCTTCCAAGCACTTTAATTTCTTGGAAAGAGAAACAAGAAAAATGACCATGCTCTGGGCATACTTCCAAGCAGAAGCAGACTACAAGCTGGACTGCCAAAAGCAGAGGTTGGCACTGAGCACCTGAGCAGAAGGGATGACACAGTAAGATGACTCAAGCCACCAAAAACTTTACAGGTGTTTGCTAGTGGAGCCCCGCCATGCTCCATGCCTTCCCCTCAGGAGCAGAAGGTGCTAAAAGCTCAAGCTAAGAGCAAAGGGAGGCGCGGGCAAGCAACATGATTTCTGTGGGCAAGCACTGCCAGACCCAAGTTTGCTCAGTCCCTCCGGTTTATTACAGACACACAGCTCCTGCCTGTTGACAGGTGCCATTAGTGCCAGCTCTGCACCACACCACGAGCCAAACCTGCTGTGGCCAGCTCAGCTGTCAGATCATCAGTGGAGCTGCAGCAAGACTGGACTTGCTTAGGAATAGATTAAGGGTTTCCTGGCTCCTGGGGCCATGCTGGGTAGCTCAGGACCCTTGCTCTCCCTTCCATTCTTCCACGAGACACCAAACTCTTGCTGACAGCATTCTACAGATACAGACAAAACACCAAAAAAAAGCAGTAAATAGATGCATTTCAGTGTCACTATATTGTTCCTGAATAACATTTTCCAAGGATATTTTTAAAAGTCAAGGACATTTTACAGAGTATCTGTTCTATGAATCAGTTCTTTTTATTTTCCTTTGCTGTTTCATAACTTTTCCAAATGTCACAGAACAATAACTGCTGTGTAGATCACTTATTAATGAAAACTGGAGGACAGCATACAAGAATAGCTGAGCATTTTTATTTTATAGTAAATGGAATGCCCAATTAATTTTCTTGCACACCAACTTTTTAAAAATCCCCCAACTGTACTAGTCTACCTTTTTTGGAGAAAAAGACTGAAATGCTATCTTGCCCTTGTCTTCCCACTTATTTAAACAGACTGCTAGAAGAAAGAGAAATTGAGATAAAAGAGACAAAGCTTCCCACTGCCTCCACATGGATGATATCTGTTTATGTTTATTATATTATGCTAAAAATGTCAAGGAATGGCATAGGCACATTAGCCTTTAAAGAAGAGAACAAAGGCTTTAAAAGGAGCCTGATTTGGAATTGGAAGGTTTGAAATCTTCAAAGCAAACCAAGCATTTAGATATGAGTCTTGAATAAACTCAAAAGTCCCTAAATCTTGTAGGAAAAATTAGGTTTCAACTGTACAGGCACATTTTCTTTGCTCCCCTGCTCTACCCCTCACTTCTGGATTTGCCAAAACAGGCCATCCTGTACCTTGAAAAAGCAGGTGCTCATTGTAAGCCCTGCCACATCCCCCAGGTCACTGCTGGATTACACTGTACTATAGGAACACCTGAACAAAATCAATCCCACCATCTTCAGTCAAACATCCTGCCTCCAAAGCAGTGCCTTTAGGCTGGGATCAAGTGTAGCATCTATTTTTATTGCTATAAGACCCAGCCTTTCCTTGGCTGGGATTGGAAGATGCACTAGGAACTTGCTGCATACACAAACCAGAGTTGTGTCTCCTCCCCTCCAGGCATCCAAGCAGATGCCTATAAAACAGAAAAAAGCAAGTAAGTAGTACATGGAAACAGAGCTTTGACTTTCCCACACCAAAGTGCAGAGAAAACACCTTCTACACAGCCTATACACACACAAGTGGGAGTAAGAAACATTGGGAGTTGCTCCAAAGCCATGAAACACCAGTGGTGGGTGTGAAGCACCTGTACTAACACAGGACTTCTGCTACTCACCTGACTGGCAGGGAACGCCAGTGAAGAGCTCCAAGACCTGCATCATGTAGTAGTCTCAAGAGAAGATTTTAATGCATGCTGGAGTCTTTTCTGACTTTTACAATAACTACAAGAACTCTGGTTAACACCTCAGGCTTTTTCCTTCCTTCCTACTCAAGATCCCTGACCATCTCAAGTCTCAGTCCCCTTTCCTGCCCTGCTCTGTGCTGGCAAAATCAACCACCCCAGTGCTTTAATCTGACAAAATGAGGAGAAACCACACATTGAAATACCTGCAATTAGAGAGGAAGCAGTTGCAGCCATACAGCCTAATGGAAAATACAGTCAATTGTAAATCCAGTCTGGAAAGCATTATCTGAAAAATACCAACAACAAGCTACATACATCCTGTGCTTCTTCTTTAGGCAATGTATTTGGGGGCTTCAAATCAGAGCTTTCTCTGAGTAACACCTGGCTGCAGCCCACGAGTTGCTGGAGAACACAACTGCACAGAGTTACAACTGGAATATCCCCCTGGGAGTGGTTCAGGATTGTTTAATGCATTGCACAGTAAATATAATCTAGGATATTTAGAAAGTATCTCCAGCAGCAGGAATTACTTGGCTCAGGGGAGTTGTGATTGGATACAAGTGCAGATAGAGACCTGTGATGCCAGGATATTAAAAATGCAGCACTTTGAATTGCAGGCAAGTGAAAGCTTCAGTATCATTAGTATGGCACTAGCAGGGTGTGTGATTGCTTAGAAAATCTATATACGTACCTGTTTCAAACTGTTTGATGCTGATATTCTGTATCTCGCACCACTGTGAACTCTGTTCTGAGTGGGACGTCTGTCTTGGTATCTCCTCCATTTTTTATTTTTTTTTTTTAATCACTGGGATGAAATTGCTAGGGATAATGATAAAAGATTGTATAATCCTGATTATGTTCTAGTTAGACTGAAATCCCCCAAGACATGGCTGAGAGTAAAGTGTCTTTTCAGAGAGAAGTCCCCAAAAAGATGAATTGACTAGAAAGCCTGAACATCAGCTGGGGCTGACCAGGAGGCTGTTCTGACATGGAAACCTGAAGTCACAAAACAGAAAGGATCTCACTTGCTGTTGAGAGATGATGAAAGGAAAAGCAGCCTCAGGAGATAATGTACAGACAGGAGGTGAAAGTAGCAGGGATTTCCAAAGAGTTGCATAATCCCATGGAAAGGTCCAGAGAGGTAAAGACAAACTCACACCAGCTTTCATTTGGTTTTGTCTCAATCCAAGCATTTCTTGTAACAGGTATGGGAAGGGAAGAAATTATTATTGTTACAATTGTGGTTTTTGGTATCCCAGGAGAAGAAAAATATGAACTTGAAGCACCTGTAAGAGTGGGGTCTGGGAAAGCAGAGGCTACTGGAGTGCTTGCCTGCATTTTTCTGAAGGCTAACTAGCAGAAATCCTCTATGAAAAGCTGTCTCTAACCTTAAAATTTTATTTCAGGCACTAAGATGATTTTCATTAAATCTCCTCTGCCCTCAGCTCCTTTTAAGACTGCTGACCCCAGGGATACCTCTCACAGGGTTTGGATCCTGTGGAGGTTTCTCTCCTGTCTGGACCCACCCCTTTTCTCACATCAGGTTGGTACTTAACTACTCTTGAAACCTTTCCCCTTGCCAACGTGTATTCTGAGCTACAGGAGGGCACAGACACTCTGAAGGATAGCATGCCATAAGGAATTCTCAAGGCAGTACATATCAGTGCCAGGATTTTTAAAGTATGGCAGCATACTGGACTGGCAGGAGTCATCAACTGAACAGCTGAGCCATAGGCTGGCAAAGCACGTCAGCTTTGGACAAAAGTAGCCTTTTCTGAAAACGGAGAATTTCCTATTCATCTCAATAAATTGAACTACTTCATTCAAAGCCAAGACACAATCTGGGGGCTGTAAAAACAGGAAATCTAGTTTTTTCTCTTCAATATGTAAATAAAAATGTAGATGTTCAAGAATGACATATGCTAATCCTACAACTCCAAAGAAGCTGACAACTGGAAAAAAACTACTGATTTTTTTTGTCATTTTGACTTTTGAATGGTTGATGTTTTAAGCGATAGTTATACCAAGGCAAAAAAAGTCAGATGGTAAACTTAAAAAAAAATAAAATTAAGACTCTGAAGCTTTAAATGCAGATTTATTTTCTTCCAAATGCAAGCTGACACATACCGAAAAAACAAAAAATAAGCTGTATAATCAGACACTATTTTCTAACACATAAAAATTCAGAATCTTAACATTAAGTTTATAGAGTACCATCAATATGCAAAAGCTTTATGCTTACTGAATTTACCACTCTGTGTGGAATGACAGACCAACATGTTTTAACGCTATCAATAGAAGTAACATTCCTTTGTGATTAAGAAAGTACAAGCATATGAGGAGATTAAAATTGATTTAGTTAATAAGATTTTCTTCCTTTCAGCTGAAATAATTTTGAATTTCAACAACAGGGGTCAAATCGATTCACATAAAGGTACAATTTGAATCCTTGGTTCAAAGGCAATGCACACAACAGTGAAAAAAAGCCACTGCTTTGCTGAGAATGTCCATGAGCATTGGTTATCCCAGCTCTATTTCTTGTGGATACATTTTGTACCAGAAGGGGCTACCCTCCACTAAATTCGATGTTTCCTTTTCCCTCCTCCTGCCTCTACAGTCTTTATGCCTTTCCCCTTTCTCCTCCAACCCATCACTCACAGAACCTTAACACATCTGTTCAGCCCCTTTTTTATGGCATTTCTGTAGCTACTGGGAAATACCAGAAACCAAGATATATCCTGATAGGGGAAAAAAATTCTTTGATAGTGCTCTCCAGGAAGAACACTGAAGTCAATTAAGTCACACGAGCAGAAAGGCCCACTGGATTTTCCTTGGAGCTATGCAGCTCAGTTGGGATGGCAAGCAGGCTGGAATATGAAGATCTAATTCACTAGCACAGATGAGTACTTCTCCTGGGATTAATTAATAATTGCTCTGGTACGGCCTGCCTAAGGTATGTAGAGCACCCAGAGACAGTTAATGGGGATCTGTGAAGTCTCAGATTGTGAAAGATAATTAAAGGAAGGGAAAAAATTTTTTGCAATGTCACTCACAGTGCTTCATGTTTTGCCTCAAGAAATTAAAATGCTTTAAACACTGAAGTATTCTGCAAACATTGACCCAGCTGAAAAGGGCAATTTTGTCTAACAGTTGCCTTATTGGCCTAAGTCACCATGCAGAAATCCACCCCTGTCTTGTCACCCTTTGGTGAATGAATCTGGACACACTGTTAGAACTTCTCCATGCCTTCCCTCTCATACCCTTAAAAGGAAGGCATACAGCTTCCCTAGAAACACACTGAACTTCAGAATAAAGATGTTATACTAAAATTGTCCCCGATTTAAAGTATTAAACCTTGAAATATGCTTTTGGAAAAGTAAATAATAAAAAGTACATTTGTTTCATAAATGAGAATCCCAAAACAGACTCAATGATTCTACCACTTTACTTACATGTCTCAAAAAAAAAAAAAAAAACCAAAAAAAAACCAAAAAACAAAACCAAAGTCACTCTCTTCTCACATTAGCCAACTCTCCTAAGGCAAAAATAACAAGACAAAATTGAGACATACTTTCAAACATCTCTTCTATTGAAAAGGACAGAGGAGATGCCTGGAAAGACACTGAACATGCACACACATGCTGCTGGGCACATCAGCGCTGGTTAAAATCACCTGGAAAGGACAAAGATGCTTTGTCACTTCACTGTGGGACAGAAAAGAAAATAATGTTTTCTGTCCTCTGTGTCAACTGAGCTTAGTTAGGGCCATTTTAAGGGGGCCGGGAGTGTGGGGACGGACACCACCACCACAAAGGCATTTTAGCCCAAAATGACTCTGCTGGGGACATGGTAAACGCGATCACCTCAGCCTTCACGGCTTCTTCCCGACAAAGTCCGTGCCCAGAGAGAGGACTGCCCGCGGCAAGCGCACACCAGCACCTTCCTCTGCTCCGTGACACCCTCCGGGCTTTCCGCCGGCTGCTCCCGCTGCTCCTCAGGGTGCCTGCCCGCGTCCACGGGGAAGGTGACCGAAGCGGAATAGAAAACCAAGGCGACCCATCCCTTGCAAGCAGACGAGCCCGCGACTGCGGGCAGGTGGGCGCTCACTGCGGGGCTGCAGCGGCGACCCCGCGGCGCCGCCGGAGGCACCGACCCCTCCCGGGCGCTCAGCGGTCTCTGCCCCGCGGGGTCGGACCCGGGCGACACCGACAGCGGACAGCCGCCCCCCGTGCCTTACCTGCCGCCCGCGGTGCCGAGCTGTCCGCGCCACAGGACCCTAGCACCGCCGCCACCGCTCCGCCGTCCCCGGCGCCGAGCCCCGGGCGGGCGGGGCCGCGCGTCACGCAGCGGGGCGGGCGCGGCTGAGGCGGGCAGGGAAGGAGGCCGGGAGGGGGAAGATGGCGGCGACGGCGGGGCGCGGGCTGCTGGCGCTGGGGCTGTTCCGCGGGCGGGTCGCCATCGTCACCGGCGGCGGCACCGGCATCGGCAAGGCCATCGCCGCCGACCTGCTGGCGCTAGGTGGGCGCGGAGCGGGCTCCGCAGGAAGCCCCGGTGGGGCAGCAGGGCGAGGAGGATGTGAGGAGGGCGGACGGAGTTTGAGGGGCCGTCCGGGAATGCCCGCGGGCTGTGCTGTGTTTTGGGAGCTGACGGCGCTCGGGGACAGGGTGCGAGGAGCCCGTGGGTGGGACATTGTGATAGGGTCGGTGAATAGCAAGGGGTTCGAGGTGAGGTTGATGTGGGACTGTGCCTTTTGGCCCGCAAAACAATCGCTATTTTAAACACAGAGGTCAGTGAGGTTATGTTAAACCAGGACCCTTTCTCTCAAGACTCTCCCTTCAGTGAGTTCTCATACTGCTTTAACTGGAGAATTTACGAGGTTGTTGAACCTTGATCCTTACAGGGCAGTATCCTGGAACTACTGCCCGCACAATAACATGTTAAAGGCAGCCTCTGCGATTTCAGGAGCGTCCTGAGATTGAAGAACATCTTAATGATGCACGGCGTAGGTTTTCTTTCCACGCTGAATACAGAGAAGCAGTAAAACCTAGAGTGAAAGGCAGTCTCCTGACTTTCTGGCCTGAGACCAGGAGAGGTAGAGACGACTCCTACATCCACTTTGCAACACCTTTCCTGCAGATTTCAACATAAGTGCCAGGGATCATCGGCATCAGACTGGGTTTGGCTAGTTTATTTTAGTTTATTGTCATGATTGGATTCAGCGCCTTCAGAATACCAGCCCTCGCATTACCCCTCTCGGTGTCACATTGCCGTGGTTTGCATTGTTGGAATGCGCACTACTGCACTGCATAGTAAAGAGCTTTCTTTGTTAAGACTGTGCTGGGAGACATCTCTGCCTCTCCTGGCCTTTGTGCTGCAGCTTTCCACTAGCTTTGTGGAACTGAATGGAGGATTAGTTCTGTTATCTTTGTATTACTGGAGAGCTAAGTATTTTTTTTTTCAGGTGTCCTTACATGCTGCTTTAAAGAGGTGCTTTTTAAGCATCATCACACTGCTTAACAATTGTGATGTTAACCCGCTACGTTAAAATTGTGCTTAATTTGATCTTTGCTGTTTTTCTCAAGCAAAATACAACAAAAGTGTGTCTGTAACAGCCTAAATAGAGCACAATAGAAAACAAATTTATACAAAGCACATGAGAAAACATGAAGAAAGCCCTATACAGGACTTAAGACTTACTGAGTAATCCTAATTGCCTGTATATTTGCTGGTTACTCCTGACAAGATAATGATCAGGAACTGTTTTCATGTATATCCTGCACTTCAGGTAAGGGGGACTGGTTCTTACAGGCATAGGAGCAGTAACAGATAATAGCAGTCATGATATACATTGTTTATATAGCCAGTCTCCTTTGAGGTCTTCTGGGAAAATTTAAACCTTTTATCTGCAAACTTGTGCCCTTTTCCCTGACCCTATCAGGAAATGGTCTGGTCATTCTTTGTGAAGAAAATTAAGTGATATAGTGTCTGCTTGCACAGTATGTACAAGTGCTCTTCCATGATTAGAATCTCGCTCTCTCCCAATTAGTATATTTAGCAAAAAGATAGTCTTTTACTGGACCTTATTCTATATCAGTGTGTGTATTAATAAACACTTAAGTTGGTAAATACAGCTGGGTTACTGTAATTCAATATTTTGTGTTGCTTGGTAATTGTGTGTGGCATTTTACAAACTTTGTGTTAGTTAGGTGGTTGTGCAAGTGACTGGAGTTCTTAATTTTCAAAAAAATCAGGAAACCTCAGAGACCACTGTCTTTATATATGTTGTTTTAAGATGGCTACTAATAAAAGGTGAAGTTCCTTTTCCTAAGGATATGCAGCTGAAATGCTTCCCTCTGGAAGAATGAAACTCCTCTCTTTTTAATATTTTTTAAAATATATAGTTCCACAAGCCAGCCTGACTCAAATGAACAGCTTGCTGCTCTTTCCTCCCACTAGTTATTTTGAGTTGATTCTGATGTTTGCTTGATCACATGAGAGGCCAAATTCCACTCTGCAACAGAGGGTGGAAAAAACCCCCACACCTGGCAAGATGTAAACATTTTCCATTTTTTGGCTGGTTGAGGATGGTTTAAATTAAAGCAGATGAGCAGCAGACCTGATATGAAGAAAGGATTACTTCTGCTGAAAAGCTAAGATTATAGAAGGAGCAAACTGGGTGCAAGACCTCCTTGCCTAGTAATTTGCTTATCCATTGCATGAAATTGCAGACTTGCTGGATCTGCACTAGGAATTAATTTGGTGTCCTTTGGTTTAGTCTATGTAGTAGAAATTGCTGAAGCCTCAAAGCTGTCCTGAGTCCATTGGTGTGACAGAAGAAATTAGACTGGTTGTAGTGTGAGTGCTTGACTTAAATTTGGCATCTGCATTGTTTTTTCTCCATAGAATGAGTCCTTCTGCCTCCAAATGCTGAAAAAAAAAAAGAGCACTTGAGCTCCTGCCTTATTTTTTTTTCTCTCATTTCTGCAGCTAGGATTCTGCAGTGCCACAGGGAGGGCTCTGTTCCCACTGTCTGTAGACTGCAGATAGGGATTAATCTTGTCAGGCTATTATCCTTCCCTTCAGCCTCTGTAGAGTTAAAAAGCAGACCATTACATTTACTCACTGCTAGTCAAAATTACAGCCAGTTGTACAGGAAGATTATTTTTGTGGTTTTAAGAGCAAGCATTTTTTGTAATCAAGACCTGCTGAAACATCTTTAAATCACTTAATTGATAAATGAGTCAGCTGTGAGCAGAAGCAGCAGAAGTGATGTCTGAAAGCTGCTTTGCTGACTCTGCAACTCACAGGCTGTCTTCCCTTCTGCAGGAAAGAAAGGAAACCTTGGGGGCATTTTTTTTAATTGCTCTTTTCCTGGCACAGAGGGATCTTGTTGCTAAGAAGCACCTGACATCAGTCATTTCTCTCTTTTGCAAGAACTTCAACACTGTATTTTCTAGTCAGTGACTAATAAATGCACATCCTACAAGGTATCTCCATGGTGTTGCTAAAAAAATAGCATAATTGTGTTAGCTGAAGGATGTTTCATTTTGTCTCTACAGGTTGCAGTGTTGTTATTGCCTCTCGTAAATTTGACCGATTAAAAGCTGCTGCAGAAGAGCTGAATAATAGATTTACTTCCATGAGTCCTGCCCAAGTGACTCCCATACAGTGCAATATCCGCAAAGAAGAAGAGGTAAAGATTAGCAATCTTGTTCTTGTTCTTAACATATCAAAAGCATGTCGTGTATATAAATGCTCAGATCTCTAAAGATTTCTGAGCTTCTCAAAAGTAGCTTAGATCAGGGAAGAGGTGGGGAAAAGCTTGGTTAAATTGATCTGGATAGATGTGTTTCCCAAGGGAAGACATTTGTTAGCCATCTAAGCAAAAAAGCATTTGTAAATATTGGCAAATATTTTTCTGACCATGCTTACATATTTCAGATATTACTGGGAGACACAGGTCTTGTAACTGGCATGATCTACAGCAAGCCAGAGCCCACTTAACATGATTCTTTGTCACATTGCTGTGACAGAAGTGAGGGGGTGTTAACTTGTGAAGATGGAGATCTCAGAATAGTTCCTTCAAACAGGAAGGCATAGCATGGAATCTGAATGCTTGTGACTTGACACAAGTACCTTGCATTATCGGTTTGGCTTGTAGTAAAGCCAAAAAACCCCACAGATATATAATATTTTAGCCATGTCAGAAATTTTGGTTACAGTTTGAGGTATGTCTCATTGTGAACTCTCTTACTATTCAAGTTGATTTTTAAATTTTTTCTTCATATTACAAAAAAATGGAAGATCAAGAGCAAAAATACATAATCCAGGTTCTTCAGAAGCCTGCATGCAACTCCTAATTTTTTAATCTCTGTAATTAAATATTTAGAAGTCCAACTTCAGGTTGGATTTTGAACTTTTTAAAGACAGCTAGAAAATCTTCCAGTAACCACTGACTACTACATTTTTATAAACCTTCCAAAGTCTCTCTTAACCTAGATATTAATGACCTTCAGTAGCTATGAAGATTCTTTAAATATCCTAGTACATAGCCATAAAACAAATAAAAATAAAGATTCTTCCCTCGTGGAACAGTTCGTGCCATAAAATATTTATAGTGATCTACTCAGAATTTCTCTCCTAAAGGATGTGAACCCTGGGGCTGTGCAGTATGTCACTTCACCTACCAGTGAATTTTAGGTGTGTGTTTACTGGCATTAGCAGTGCAACATAATAGGTTATGGCAGATGTCAGAGGGCTACTTGCGTGATTAAAGTTGCAGGAAGGAAAGGAGGTAAAGAGGGAGAAAAGGTTTAAGCTTTTTTGCAAGTCTGTTTCTCGCAGAAAGTGCTCTGGCATGCTTAATAACCTTCTGCAGGTGAATCTGTATCAGTCTGAAATTGATTAGTGGGAACTGCAGCATTCTGGGAGATGGTTTGGGGCTTGCTAGGATGGAGAAATGAGGTACTCTCCACTGAACTTGCATTCTTTCTTTGTTTCCTTTTTAAGTGTGGCTAAATACCTATTTGACAAAACAGGCTTAAGTGGCTTTGGAAATTTTCGAAGGTGCTTTTCAAGCCTTCTTTATAATGCTGTGTAAAGTGTTTAGGCATTATTCTGTAGTATGGCTAGTCATAATGATACTTGAAGAAACTTCCGTCTTTGCTATTACCTTGCAGTTTTATCACAGAATTGTCCTGTTTCCAGTTTAGTTTTAAACTCTACCCATTTACAGACACACCAGAACCTTCCTAGAACTTTTTATATGATATTAGTGAAATTTCTATTGGATGTCAGTGGAAGTTCTCTTTAAACGTTATCCTTTCAAGTATGTTTCTATTGAAGAAAGGCTTCAGAGGAAAGAGGCAGATTAAACTCTAGTCTTGAACTTTTCAGTTATTGATTTAGTCTTATAGTTTGACTCACTTCAGTTGTCCAACTGCTCTTACTTATTTCTCTTGAAGTCCTATTTAGAAAAAAATTGCTGTGAAGATTTCATGGGCTTTTGGCTGATGATCTGAATAAGGAATGCAATTTCTGTTGCATGTTAACATAAGAACTTGTGTACCTGTTAAATATTTCTCCATTGCAGATGCCCATCTCCAAGGCCTGATTTTTTATTGGTTAGAGACATCCTGTTATTTTTGCCCTTTAGCTTGTGCTGTTCTGGCTCTGTTTTTTTCTGTTAATGCTGAGATTCTCAAAGATTGCTAAGTCCTAGCCATGTGTAACTTAATTTCTGAATTTACTGTTGGACCAGAAATTTGTGATTTCAGCTCTTAAATTTGTAGTGAGGATAGCACTTCCTTACATTTAGCTACTTTGGTTTGCAAGTTGAAACTAGATAAATTAACAATTGTTAACTTACACTGCTAAAAACTGTCAGAACTGAGGTGTATGGCAGGTTTTCCACATCCTACTGCTTACTATTGCTTATTTATTATGTTTCCTAGAGCAGCAATGATTAAAAGTACGTTTTTCCTAATTTGCACTTGCTTGCTTTGTGGAAACTAGAGGAAAAGTATTTTTGGGCTTTTACTTCAACTCAAAGAGTATTGTACATCCACTTTCAAAACCTACTCCATTCTTAACTTAAAATTTAGTGCCTGGGACTTGGAGTCATAGGAACAGGAATCAGTAAAAGATGTTGTTAAGGACTTTTGTAGCCTAGGAGGCACATATTGAGTAGAGGTAACACAGTAATATAACTCACTTCAGTATTTTCACAAATACAGGAAGAGCTTCTTGTTACAGTGGAAGAGAGAATGAGAGGGCATGTAAACTTTTGGCTTGCCTCACAGAAGAAATGAGACTGGTTACAACTGTGTTGGCTTTGTGTGCTACTCATTAGTAACATTACAACTCATTGTTTGCTTTCAGCTTAGTATGAGTGAAGAGTATTTACCTCAGAAATCATGGGAGCACATTGTTGGGTAGAGAGGAACAGCCTCTTGCAAGAATTCCGTGTGAGTCTACATCCTCCTTCTATTATAGCTCTTATACCAGGTACCAAAGAACATGTGCAGGAGAAAAACATTATAAATGTTTCAACAAGAGAAAAAAACTTAGGAGTTCAAGCTCCCCTAGATGTCAGAAGTGATCTATCACAAACTTCAAACCCCAGGAAGTTTCCTGAAGAACTACATAATTCATTTAATATATCATTCTTTCTGACATGTCACTGAAGTATCTCTAAGAGTAAATCTTTGTTTTAAAGGAAACCACCCTGATCACCTGTAGGAACAAGCCATTTGTTCTTATTATAGATTGCCATTTTTTTTGTCCCTCCTTCTCTATGAATTGTTCTGCGTTTTTCTGAAGGCCTCTATAAATCTTGTCTACATTTGAATTTTATAAACTGGAGGGAGGGATTTTGAATAGGAAAAATTTAAGAAAGATGAAGGTGCTTTCAAATTGCCAGAAGATTATTTTTTGCCTCCTACTGCAAATCTTAAAGTAACTGACCTGCTTTGAAGATGACATGGTTCATGCCTGTAGTTTGGATCTGTGAAATTCAAGCATTAAAAGGTTCATCCATCATCATGTAGTCCATGATGTTTGTTAGAGCTCTTTCTGGCCTAGGAAGAGGCAGAGAAGATGGAGTGAATTAATTGCTTCAGAAGCTTGATGGCAAATATCATGGGGATAGCTTAATGAATTCACATTTTTAAGTCTGTAAATCTTCATCCTCAGCAGCACTTTTGCTTTCTAGTAAAGCTTAGTTTTTGTTTAATGTGCAAGAAATAATCCTGCTTGATGGAGGATTTTCAACCACTGTGTAACCTGTCAGGCTTATTTTTGTCATGAGTTTGCTGCTACTTTTGACTAGTTTTCCCTCAGTGTTCTGTAAAGGATAAAAAACATGTTTTAAAAATGGCAGAGTAGAGGGTTCTGGGATAAGAGAACCTGAGATTTCTCTATTCTGTCATCAGAATATATTTCTACATTCTATCATGGGACCTTATCCTGGAGCAATGATTGTGTACCTCTTCTCTTTTCCTGTATTTTGGAGTGTACATAGTGATAGATGTTGCTTCTTAGCAATTATGAAGCTGAAGTGATTTTTACTGTTTGCATATTTCCTGGCACTGCCCTCATAATGTATTGAGAGCAGATCAGTTTGCTCTTAGTGAGATGCAAACCGGACAACTCTGTGCATGTCTATCTTTATTTATCTCTTTTTGTGTCTTAAATTTTGAGCTACAGCAAAATCTGTTGACAGGGACAAGACATGAGGAATGAATGCCTGAATTAAGGGGAGGAGGGGAGGGAGAGAGACTGAGAGAGACAGAGACCAAGCAGATGGTAGTCATGATACATGGATACATCAGTGTCCTGTCAGTCTTCTGGGGGTACTACCTTCATACAGGCCAAGTTCCCAATATCCATGCGATGGTCACAGGTGCCTTTCCCTTAACTTGGGGTGATGGGTATGAGCAGTTACTTCCTTTCCTGCTGTTTGCCACAGTGGGCACATTTGTCTGCATGCATTAGCCAAGATGTGGTAACCCAATCTTACCTCTGCTAGGCCTGGAATTAATGCTTTCCTGTCACAAATTCCTCCCTTCTGTGCTTCTCTCAAGTTCCTGATTTGGTGGCTTATCATGTTATGGTAAGTTCCTTCTGTGGCCTTGACAGTGTTTTGAGACAGGCAGCTGTACTCTTTAAATCCTTATACTTGTAAAGCCTTTTTTCTTACTCTCTGTGGACAATCATTTATTTAACTGGAACCTAGATAAGTAGAAGTTACATGTCTAGGTAAGTGGAAGATAAAACCTTGTACTTCTGGTAGGCCACAGCTGTTCTTGAAATCAGCAATTCAGAATTCTGTTCATGGTGTCTCCTTTCCATACTTGAACTCCAGCAACATAACCTGCTGCTGGACCAGACCCCAAGGGTAAAATCTGTCGCTTGGACATCAACAAGACAACTTCAGACAGACTCAATACAGTGCTACTTAGCACATACCTTGTGTCTGAGTTCACTAGTACCTTTTCCAATAAACTTTATAGCTTAGCATAGGCTCAGTTGGTTTATAAATACTTAATGCCTGTCTGTGTGAAGCCTGTAGTGAAGGACTGTGGCTTGGTGGGTAGTTGTGGATAAGAGATTCCTGTTGTTGTACTTTTAAATAACACAGCAGTAACACAGGGAAAATTTACTGCTGTGTGTTACCACTGTGCCAGAATGCCTATTTGTTCTAGCCACCAAATCACAAATCTGTAACATTCTGTAGTGGGTTGTTTGCCTGGGTGTTTTACTCACTCAGGGTGACCTGTGAATGCGTGTGGACATTTGTCATTTTTCCCTGAGTCAGTGACTACTGTCATCTCAGTTATCTGTGAATATGTGGTACCACATAATACATCCAAGTTGCAGTCACACACAAAAGCTCCTTATTGCAGAGCTCCAATCTTCTGTTTATGTCTGAAGTGCCTGATTTTGTTCTTTTCTGTCTTTTTCAGAAGAATGTCCTAAACTAGTAGAACTACCTCATGCAGCTTTACTTTGCTTCCGAAGAGAGTCTTTAATTGCTTTTTTAAGAAGTTCTTTCAAAGTGGATTTTTTAATTACGGCAATAGAAAATAATCTTATTTAGTAGTCAGTGTGATTTAAATGTGTTCCATTAGACCCTCCTTCTTCCTGAGCTGCTGTCTGCTGTCACCATGTTTAACTGGGAGAAGTGTTGCAGTGATGCTTTTTCTACAGCATGGAAGACTTTGTGAAGATCACTACAGTTGGAGCCATCTGAGCTGTCACTGGAGAGCCTTCTGGCCTTTCCTGGCTTTCAGAAAGCAGAACTGATATGTTTGTTTTTGTTGGGTTTTTAATTTTTTTTTCCTTAGAATATGGTGCAGCATGTAGGAGCAACAACAGCTCCTTAAGTGTAACATATAGCCTAGCAATTCAAAATGGTTCATAGCATATAACATTTTGTCCAGCTGTTGAAAACTTGCTTTAATATCTCTTTTCAGCAGATTTTTCTTGTTAATTTGTCTTCTGTCTTTTCTTTTTACCATTCTTAGCATTATTCCTTCTGTGTCTCTCTCTCATCTTTCCACAGTCTGAATAGCCTTAGTCTGTTCAAATCTTCTTTGTACTGTAACCATTTCTGTTCCATAAATGAGCCCATATTTCAGTGACTTACAGAAAATAGTATTCAAAGCAACATTCTCAGACTGACAGGGAGAAGAGTTTGATATTGCTGAGCAAAGCATAACTTTTGCTGCCTAGCCAGACATAACTTTCCTTTGCTCACAGCAAGAGAAAAGTAAAAGCCAAAATGTCCTTGTAGCATGGCTGTTCTCGCAAGCTAAGAGTTCGGGACTGCTGTCACAGATGTTTTGGTTTTCTGGGTTTTTTCCTCACATCCCACAACCTGCAGTGACTAATAAGTGAAGAATAAGATGACATTCAGAATTTGAAGATTTAGTTTAGGTATCAACATTATTTTCTTAAGGCAGTTTTCTCAACAGGCACGAGTTTTTCAGTCATTATATGTTTGTTTTGGGTTTTTTTCTTTCAAGAGGTGCTTCCTTTCAGGATCCATACTATTCTGTTAAACCATCCTGTGCTGTGAGCAATAAAAGATGTGAGGCAGCTATTTATGAGACTGGGTTGGTAACACTCATTGTGACGTACAGATAATGCATTGCTTACACTTTTTTTTTTTGTTTCTGATGTTTTCTACTTCTAACTCAATACAGAGAAAGGCTGATTGATATCCTTCCCTGAACCCAATCTGTTTGATTGGTATCACTTTTCCACCTGTTTGGTTTTTTGGGCTTTTTTTTGTTCTGTGTTTTTCTCTGACCACAGATGCTAAATTTTCTTTTTATACATGCTTGAGTAGGAATAACTGATGCATGGTATCTAGTTATGATTGATGATGTAAGCAGAAAACAGTCATATTGTCCCGTTTCTTGAGATAAATTATTAAGTTGTTGCTATGGAGCTCTTATTACTATCTTGCAATAATATTTTTGTTAAAGAAGATAACTTGTATTTCTGGCATTTTTTAGACTTCATGTTTTGTAGGGTACTTAACCTTCTTGCTCTGTGTAAGAACGCTGGCTATTACCAATTCATAGGTCAGAGCTGGTGTGAATGTACTAAACTTCTAGATAAGGGTGATAAAACTCCACAAGATGAGTTATATTTTCTATTTAAAATGGTCCGGTGTATGGTCAGATAAAAATAACAATAGCTACCTTATATAGAACTCTTTGCAGATCTCATGTGAATGCCCCCACTCTTCTGAAAAACATCAGAAGATTATTAGTAGGTCGTACGTAGTGGGCTTTTGTGACTGATTTTACAAATCTTGGCAGCTTAAATCCCCTTCTTTGGCTGCTGGTATTTTATGCAGCACATGGATCATTCCAGCAAAATTTCCTAAGTAAACATGGATACAGCCCAGTCCTTCTTGGCTGGCTAAACCTTTCATACTGATCTTACAGCCCTTCTGAAGGCTGGACCTCCTCTTTTTCTGTGCAAAGGGCATGAGGGAGAAAATACTGTTTGAGAAGAAAATTTGGTGTAGACCTTGATCAGCATACCACACTAACAAATACTCTTTCAGGTAGAAGCTTTGGTGAGGTCTACACTGAGTCTGCATGGGAAGATTGACTTCCTGGTGAATAATGGAGGGGGCCAGTTTGCAAGTCCTTCTGAAGCCATCCGTGCAAAAGGCTGGAATGCTGTGATAGACACAAATCTGACAGGGACCTTCTATTGTTGCAAAGCAGGTAAGGTCTGAACATTAAACTTAATGTTTATTTGATTTTTTTTTTACAGAAATACCAGAAGATAAGAAGTGAAAAGTTTCCCTAGCTGCTTCTGCACTTATCTGACAGTGGATATTTGTTTTCTTGAATCTCATGCAAAGCTTTGCATTAAATGGTGTATTACATTTGTTCCTAAATACAAACATACATTTAGGCAAGTATGATCTTCTGGTTAATACCAGGTTTGGAAGTCAGTTGACTTGGATACTCATTTAAAAGACTATAGGAAAATCGTTTCACTTTCATGGCCTTGTATTCACTGTGTATAACATAGGAAAATACTTTATTCGGGGATATAAATTTAGGCTTAAATTTAAGTATGGTATGTCATTCTCACTTAGCATTTGGAATGTGGAAACTAAAGTAATTTACATGGAAACATGAAATCTTGATTTCTATCAAATGCTTCTTTACAAACATTGAGCCTTACCTGGACCATGCCTGTTGCATCATGGCCTCACCTCTGGATTGGCAAAGCTGTGGTAGAAACAGCAGATTGTTTTTCTAAACCAGTATGACAAATGTGTAGTGTGATTGCAGTTAAGACTCCAAATTTGGTTTCCAGTTGGCAAGTTCATTTGTATGTATTTCTTCTGATATTTATAGGTTATCTTCCTCCTTCATACAGTGTACAATGCCTGGATGCAGGAACATGGAGGAGCCATTGTCAACATTACTGCTGCCGTGAGAAATGGCTTTCCTGGAATGTCGTAATATATATTTTCTTTTCATACTTTTCTATATTTTTCCCCCAGAAGTACTAACTGTTCCTAACTGACCTTCACACACTTCAGAAAAGTGTGTACTGGGCAGCAGCGGAGTATAGAAATATAGTAGTTAGGTCGAGAGAGAAAGAATATCACTTGGCTTTATGTGTGGGGATCTCTTACTAATCCAGTAGATGGCATCTCTGGTCTCTCTCTGCTTGTTTGTAAGAAACTATGAAGCAAGACTTGTCAGTGAAGCTTTAATTCAAAATAGCTTCTTTTTTTGTTTGTTTTTTTTTTTTTTTTTTAGACTTTGAAATTGAGTTTCTGTTGAAGAAATATAAAAATATATTTTGAGCAAGTGCTGCATTATTTGACTTTGACCTCATTCAGGCTTGAATGGTTTCAAAACCAACATTTTTTAAGGAACAGCAGAATATTTTCTCACTAGCTTGTTCTTCACAGTACAGAATAAATATAGAGATCCACATGGTGGTGCTGAAGCTACAGTTATTTGAGTATCTCCACTGTGGTATCTGGTTCAACTGTCATGGCAAATAGGCTGAAAATGTTTCAATTTGAGTTGAACTAAGAGGAAAAACAAGCTAGTTCTGAATAACAGTGGAGAAATTTTCCTGAGTAACCGTTGTATGTAGATGGATAGACAAAACTACTTCCAAATTAGATTGAGTTGAAACTTCTTGCAGAAATGCACTGTTGAAAAAGATATGCCTTTACAAGTCCAGCCAGCACTCATGCCAAAAGTCATCTGATAGGACTTCTTTATAAGTGTTAATTTTGACCATAAAAGTTGTCATGTTTCCTCAGAGTGTGCCTGGAGGTTATCTATTTCTGGCCTAAACATATGAATAAGTTATATTGTCTTTTGTTTTTCTTATTCATTCCCTTTATTTGAGAAGCTATTGCATCTATCTCCTCTTAGTCTGTTTCACTAGGCTAAAGCAGCTAAATTTATTCATTTTCTCTGACTACAAATGTCTACAATTCATTACTGCAGTAATTTTGTTTGCATTTGTTCAAGCTTGTAATTATTTCAGACTAGTTATCTACAGCAGCAAGGCTTAGGAGTTCACTCTGACTCTCATGTCTCTATCTCCATCTACCTACACTAATTTTTGAATAGTGACTTATTTTAATCATGTTTGTCAGAAGACTTAAATATATCTTTCAGACCACTGTTCTTCCAAGTGTTGCTTTACCTGTGCAGGCTATACGTAGTTTTACACGGTTTGAACTTCAGCTGTTTCTCTTTTTATAAGCCTCCTCCTGCAGTAGAGCGTAGCTGACCCCATGTTGCGTTGGGAAAGAGATTTTAAGTATTCCTAGCAATGGAAGGAAATCACAGCATAGATTGTTTGAACAGTGAAGCTATGGTCAAACTTAGAAACTAGAGAGTCTCTCTCTTTCAGATGCTTGTCCAGCCACAGAAAACCACTCTGAATACCCTAGTGAGGCTGCAGTAGAATTAACACTGGACACCCTTAGCTAAGGGAACAGATGCTTCCTTTGCTTTCTTTTCTCCATAGGCACACAGGAGCTGCAAGAGCTGCAGTGAATAACCTAACCAAGACTTTAGCTTTAGAATGGGCTCACAGTGGAGTGAGAATCAACAGCGTTGCTCCCGTACGTAATGGCAATGAGCTGATTAAAATTACCTATTTCATGTGCTCATAGTTAGAGCTTTTGGATTTTTAAATTTATTACCAGTAACTGTTTGTAGATTATTTATATATTTGTTTATTTATAATTCTCTTATTGTGTTCTTTGGACCATTTGACAGTGTTTTGTACTTTTGGATGATGAGTCAGAGGATGTGGGATAAAATTGCTTTTGCTTTCTGCCTTGATTTGGCACACTTGGTTTTTAGTTTTTTTATAGCTAAATGAAATGATACTGGTAGGAGTTGGTGACCTGTCTTATAAAGCCTTGACATAAAAATTACTGTTTCAGTAATGGATAAATTACTTCTGAGTTCAGGAAACTTCTTCTGTTTGAGGTTCAGGTATGTTGATAGTTTCCACCTATGTTTACAAATTTATTTGGAAAATCTCTGTATGTCTCACATAACACCTTTTACTTTGTCTCCTATATGTTAAGTTAGTTTAGCTTTAGGTATATAAAGAGACTGTAGTTGGAGTGTACCTTCTCTCAGAGAAATTATATGTAAAAATGTGTGTTTTCATTTATTTAATCAAATTTATGCAGACAAGAAACCACTATACAGGTCAGCTAAAATATGCCTGCCACATTTCTGAGGAATTAGACAGCAGGTAGAGTTGTTTTAAATAACTGTATAGAAAGAGCACCTATGTTTTGTAGTGCTGCAGATACAGAAAATATATAGAAGCTCTAGTCTTGACTTTTGAGTATGTGTGATCTCTTGTCATTTTCTCTTATCCACAATTTATTTTGCACATTTACTCCCTTGAAATTAAAAGAGGAAACATAAACTTTGTCCAGCTACTTCTACAGCCAGAATTTAGCTTATCTCACAGTGAGTGTCATAAGTGAAGTGCCATTTTTGTTTAATTGATCCCTTGGAAAATCTTGTTGCTATTTTTGTAGAATGTCTGTATATTCTGTTGTGCCTCTTGTCCTAAAACATCTGGCTTTGTGTGGCAAAGCATAGAATGCTTAATGACAGATGCATGTTAATCATTCAGGTAAAGGCTTTTATGTAACCTTTGTGAGACCAAATTAATCTGTAGACATGTTAAATATTAAGTTCTACTGACTTATATTTCCTGTTTATCTGTTTTTTCTGATTTATCAAGTCTTGGGGAAGTAAGTAATTAAGACAGCATTATTATGTGAATATACTTTTCAGGCATGCTAATTACCTAATGAATCATGCTGATTAGATATTATAGCACATGTCAGAAGTTTTTGACAAGCAAACTCTTTAGGGCTTCAGCTCTTTCAGAAGTATTTGCTGGCTTTATTACTATGCTGGTAACAAAAGTCAATGTTTTAGTTACGATAATATACTTTGTGGACCCATCAGGTCTGTGGTAACAATACAAAATTGTTACTGCTTTATGAGAGGAGAGCAACCTCTGGGAATTGATACATAGAGAGGGAAGTGTACGTTCTGAAAAAAATAGTTTCACATATGTTATACAGGTATCTTAAAAATCTCAGTATATGCTTCATGGGTGAATTCAAATTTTGCTATTTTACTTAAACTTGAGTCCCGAAAGTTCTGTCCTAACTGGTGGATGTAACTCTGTGTTCACATTGCCATCTTCCTTCTCAAAACTAAGCTGGACTGTGTGGTCACCAGAGCAAACACAGTCATCTTTTTCTGCTTCTACAGCAGCTAAGTAGGGAGAGTCAGAATTCTGACTGAAATCTGTCTGCTTCTGTAATTCACAATAAATTGGGCTAGTGCTCCTACAGAAGACAAAAAACTTTTGAGAACTTGTTCTTGAGGCTTTGTAGTTTCCTGCTGTAATTTAACATGAAATGCTTGTAATTTCAAAGCAGACATGAGTTTTTTTTATACTCCACTTTTTTTGTTATTGAAGTGACAGTGGAGAATTGGAATAATCAGAATTATTGTGCTTGAACAGAGATGTGGCTAGCAGCCAAATTACCTTCTTGTATAAATGATACTATGCTATTACATTCAAAAACTTGTATTTGAGTGCTCTTTGGATAGTTCAGTCTCACAGGAAATCAGTAATGACAACTTCACAATTTTAGAATGATCAGTTTAAATGTATGCAAGAGAACTTAAGTTTTACTGTACTATTTTTAAATAGGGACTGGTATTTTCGGAAACTGCTGTTGCAAACTATGGAGAACAAGGTGTAATGATGTGGTTAAAGAGCATACCAAAGGTTCCTGCCAAGAGGTCAGCTGTTCCTGAGGAGGTAATGTATTTCAGAATGCTTCTGATATGCCTGCTTCTGTGTCTCTATTTTGAAACCACTTTATTATATGGAGAACAAGAAGATTTAATTTTGCACTGTGATGGACTATTCAAAAAGAAGAAAGCTTGTAGCAATGTGTGGTCGTGCCAAGTGAGAGACTTAACCAGTAGTCACTGTTATACAGAGAATTTAATTCAGCTGCCTCTTACAGCTGAAGAGTTGGAAAGTAAACATTATTTCTTGAAGAAGTTGACTTTGGCAGGAAGGACTGAAAGAATGAATATTAAGGGTAAAAAAAGTGTATCTTAAAAGCAATTAGCTCTCTTCCACCAAGAATGTGCATCTTTGATAAACTGATCAACCTTTTTTTGGGTTTTTTTGGTATCTGATGGTGCTCTGTGACATTTTAGTGGTTTTACTCTGTTAAATGCTGATGTTTGTGGCTGGAAAAATGGCTTTAAGGCTGTTACAGTTTTCATTACTAAGTAGAAAATGTTACTATATCTGTAAAAGTTTTCACAAGTTTCTTTGACATGAATAATTCCCAGCAGTTTAAGAAAGATTAAAATTGTTCTTTTGCTAGATCTCTCCTGCAGTATGTTTCCTGCTGTCTCCAGCTGCATCATTCATAACTGGGATAACCATGGTTGTGGATGGTGGCCAGAGTCTGTACAGCAATACTCTAGAAATACCTGGTAAGAAATGGGCTACAAAATAATGCCCTTTAAGTGACTGAAGTTGTGCAGCAGGAGCACACAAAAGTAAGATGTCTAGTTTCTCAAGCAACTAAGTAAATTCTTCTGTTTGTTTTCCTTAGATCATGACAGATGGCCCTCACCACCAGAAGGAAAAAATTCTGAAATGCTGAAAAAGCTTCTTTCTGGCGAGTTCAAACCAAAGCTATAAAATGAAGATATTTTACCTTGTTCCCAGTTGCAGCCTTGCTGATAATGTCACTTTGTGATTTAGCCTTATTATTCTCAGTAATATTTTTTTTTCCTCATATGTAACTACATTAAGTGCCTTGATTTTTTTGTTGGTTTATATTTAAAACTTTTGAAAGGCTTTACGTTGTACATCTCTGTAAACACTCACCCTGAAAACATTCAATCTTTTGGGAAGGGAAAATATTAAAAAGACAAACTATCCATTTGCATGGGCATCAAGTAATGAAGAATCCCAGCCAGAAGTGAATAAAAGGAATACTGATTTTGCAGTGAAGGTAGCCAAGAGGGAATGTTTAGGAATCCTTCTGTTCTTGATGAATTTGCGGAGAAGGTAAATCTTTTTCTATTAGTTGCATCAGTAGCCCTTGGGTAAGTGTTAGCTGTATTTCTGTTCACTCACATACTGAGTATTCAACAATGGTTTTAAAGACAAAATAGAGTAAGTATTTCTCTGAAAATAAATAAAAATAAGATGGAATACTGTTATTAATGTTTCAGACAAATATGGCATATCATATTTGGAGCGTTTTGAATTGTTTGCAGATATAATGACATAATGGTGTTAAGCTGGCTGCAACTTGATTACAGAATAAGCAGATAATAAATACAGTGATAGAAAACAGTATAGATTCAACAATTTAGCATGTAAAATCTGTGGTGTATATTGTAGTGCTCTCTGCAGTATGCTACACTAGTAAATGAGAATTTGGAATTCTTCATCTTCCAGCTAAAACATCTTTTATCCATACTGTGTTGTCTTACAATGTTAATTTTGTTCATTACTGCCTTTAGATGTGGTTTTTGTGAACAATGAAGAGATGCCATTTAAAAACTGGAAATCTTGTAATACATCCCTTGAAGAAGCTATATTTGTAATTTTTTTATTCATTTTAAGGCAAATGTTCCCATTCTGCTAACTTTAGTGAAAATATAAAAAATATTAAAGACTGTGCTTGTTTGCTGTAAAAACTGAAATTCCTGGAATCTAGTTGCTGCTATAGAAAGGAACTTTAAATACTTAATTTTGGACTGAATGTAAGAGTCTGATGGATGTTTGATTTTTGTGTCTTTCAGTAAAATATGTGTTCTTATATAGGTACATGTAGATTGCTTTTTCATGAAAATGAAATGAATGCCAGTTTTGGGGGGAGAGGAGGGATTTGAGCACACAACCAAGTGTGTTCTTCCTGCTTTATGCTCTTTCCTTAGTAACTGGACAGTCATTTATGCGACTGTGAGAAATTAATACAGAAATAAAGCAAATTTTTTCAAACCTCTTGTGTAGGGTATCTTTAGTTTATTGCAAATATTAGTTCAGGGTACTCAGCAAGAGGATTCCTGGAAGCAAATGCACCTGTTAGATAACTAACTCTAGAAGTCTAGCCCATTGCATTCAAGTGAAATTATTTCATTTATTAACACATTATTTCAACATTCTTAACATCTTTCTGGAAAAGAAGGTTAAACATGAATAAGCGTGAGACTTGTGGAACTTACTTTGTTTGACTGTGAGTTTCTACGGTACGTGTGCACTGTGGATTTAAAGTGAAGTGGAAGTGAATTGATGACTTCTGTTATATCCCAGAAATGTTCACTGAAAGATTATGTAAAAAAGAAAAGATTTCCAAGTACAAACTTGGAAATCATCAATTTTTAATCTTGCAGATTTCCTCTTTACTGTGCTATAGTGTGAATATTCATAAAGAGGGGAAGTTTATATGTAATGATGGTAAAATTCATCATTAACCTCAGGAATTCATGAGAACATTAGAAAGGTGAGCATTCTCCCGTGTGGGAAACAGGTTCAGTCTGCAAGTAATAAATTCCTTCACATGTAAAACTATAACAAACTTTTCTGCTTGTGCTGAATACAGTTTGACCTTGCCTTCTTCAAATTTCAGCAAAGCAATGGATGTACTAAGATGTAAGTTAGTTCTGTAGAAGAGGGTGTGTGCTTCTTTTTTTTTTAAACCGGCAGGAGGTTGAAGCAGGCAGCATTCGTGGAGCTGTAAGGTGCTCATCTTAGTGCAATAGGAGAATATACTCAGAATACTCTAAGGGTAAATCTGGTTTAAAAATAGAGAAAATACATCCTCAGAAGGAGAAGGGGACACATCAGTGTTTGCTTTTCTTTGCTTTTTCTTTTTTTCCCCCAGTAATAATACAAAGGTTCCCCCATGAGTTGAGGATTACTGTACATAATATTGAAATGTTTATCACAATTTTTTAGATATTAGGATAGTAACTCCCTTGCTGTAATGTAAAAAATAATCACAGCCTTTCTTTTTTTTAATCTGGGTTTTTGTTTTGTTTTGTTTTTATTTGTATTTCTTAGGGGTTTTTGTTTTTCTGTTTTTTGTCTTGCACCATGGATTACATGAAGTGTTTAATTCTCAGAACAGAGCTTTTATTTTGGTCTTGCTTCTTTGGTCAATTTTTATGTAGATATAAAATTATTTTGAAAGTTTTGCAGCACATTGCAGAAACCCAGTATTGTGTCAGCTGGCAGCAAGAATGTTTCAGGTGTCTGCTGTAGTGCTGCAGATAATATCAACTGTAGCAAAGCTCTTCCTATGCCAACAACCCATGATCAAAGGGCATTGAGAGGTTAAAAGAAATGGGTGTGGTAGCGAAAACATCCTTGACCTTATGATTGGGGTATCTGGAGTTCAGAGAACAGAGAACTTGATTTGATTTACTTTACAAGGAAGGTAAAAGCAAGTGTGAGAAAAGGGCTAAGGAACCTCATGAAGAATCAGAGATTTACCGACCAAACACTGAAACTTAAACATTTACTGCACTGTATAATTGTAATAAGCAAAGAGAAGACTATTAGAATGACAGTTACATTTACCATTCTGTTAGAAAACTCTTTTTGGTTGATTTGGTTGGTTTCGTTGGTAAAACTTTGGTTTTACACCTGGCTAAGCCTTGCCTATTCTGCCTAATTCTTACCAGATATTCATTTGATGGATGAATAGGTGCTTACCAACTGCTACTTTACTCCACTGTCTGGTGTTATATCTGAATATGTGTCATAGAACTTTACATTTGTGATAGCAGTGTAATTCAATGAAGGAGAACTTCTGTAAATATCTGTCAACTGCACTGGTGTTATGTTTTACAGGTTTCTCTTTGTGTTAAGCAGAATATTGTTCATTCAGGGTATTTATTTAACATAAGGGGAAGTCTGATTATTCTGTGGGTTTACTTTAGTGTAAAATGAAGTCTCTGTTGTAGAAATCTTCATTTTTAAAGACTAACAGTTGTCATGTTTGCTAAAGGGAGAACAGTCTGTGCAGTGTCATTCTGCAGTAAGGTCCCTTGTCTGCTTTAAGATGTAAATGAACAAATATGAGGCAACCATTGCTTGTTATAAGCATTCATGGCTGTGTTTAGTCTTCTGAGCAGTCACACAAAATATCCCCTATAATCTTTAAGAAAGTGTGCTCTTTGCAAGATAGTGTAATTTCATATACTTCTAATCAGCATCTCCAAGTTTCCGCTTGGCATCTCAAGTAGCAACCTTGTGTTAAATGGCTGAGTGCTGCAGGTGTTAGGGGAGTTGTCTTATTAGTAAAGTCAACAGTGTCTGTATTCTGCATTACTGAATACAGCCAAGACCTACAGGTAAATGAGTTACTTCATAAACTTCACTGGTGGGGTTGGAGCAGACAAACCTATCAGTACTACTGCCCAACATCACTTAGCGTATATAACATTTTTATGAATCTTCCAGCAGTGGTTTAGGTCTGTCCTCCCCAAGATACCTGCTCTCCCTTTCTTTTCACACCAGCTTTACAGTGGTGGTGCATTTGTATTGGGTAGAAGTGGAAGTACTAAGATGCAGGCACTTGTTTCCTTCTGACATGGGAAGGCAGAAGAGCAATAGCAGACATGACTAACAAAGGTTTGAAATAATACTGCTGTTTGCTCAATGCATGTGTGCTGGGTTTTAAGTTTATAAACAGACTGTTGGTCCTCCTACTGATGAGGAAAGATTCTGGATCATGTTATAACATCCTGGCATCACAAGCTTTACCCTACTGCAGTTCCTAGAAGAAGCCATTTTGACTTCTGTTATCTGCTCTGTCTCCAGCAGCTTGTTCCTTTGTCAGTTAACCCCTCCTTTGTTAAAATATATACTAAATTAATCACTAACTTACCCTTTTCTGGATGTCATTCAAAGCGTGGTAATACGGTGCCATCTATAGGAAAGAGTGGTGGGGAGGCAAACTTGGGAGAAAAAGGAGAATGATGGCACGGCTCTGAAAAGGGGCTGGTCTGTTCCTTTTTGAAGAGTTCAGAAGCTGTAGCTCTAGTGTTAACTAACACAGACACTTGTTAGCCTCAAGCAATACACATAGGAGAACCTCTCATTGCAATGATGTATTGATTCTGGAATTCAGGGAGAGCCATTCTCCCAGATTTCAGTCAATTGCTTGAGTACACTATCCTGCGATGTACCTATTCTATCATTTCTACTCCCACAACACCCAAACTCTGTCGTCGGTACAGGGTTTGAATTGAATGGATAAATAACCAATATACTTTATTTCAACTCCTGCCAGCTATTTTTTACTGTTATTTTCCATATCGGCAATTACACTGTTCCTGTAAGATTTATTTTGCTCTGGTAGCATGACACATGATCCCAAAACCATGCCCCTGGGTTTGGGCTGAACTTAGTGTAAGCCAGTGTCATAAGTGCTGGTCCTGGGTGTTGATAGGTATTTTTTATCTCAAAGTCAATATTTAGCTGTTTAACCTGCTCCTGCTACTGAAGATGCCCTGAGTTCAGGATTGTGGCATGATAGCACAGATGCCTGTCAGGATGTACAATCATCTCTGCAAGGCACTCTCGCGATTGTGCTCTGTGCTGAGCAGGCTTTGTGCAGCAATACAAAGCATCACATGGGCAGAGGAATGTGGGATGATTTTCCACAATCCTTGCTGGCTTCTTCTGTACTGAAAGAACTTTGACTTCGAAACCAACTATTCACTAACCCCTCCTCCATCAGTTAAATCCAGTTACAAGATGCTAAACTGACAAATGGCTGTGAAATGGAACATTAAGGCAAGGGAAACATTGGATGTGTTTTCAAAGCTGTGTAAGCAGCTGTGGCTCATTGATTTTGCTTGATGGTGTAGGAGCATCACATCAGCATTTTCTTGGCTGTTTCCCTATTGTTTGGCAAAAAAGGTCACCTTTTTAACTTCCTAATTAAAGACTCTTGGTCGTGGAAAGTGTCTCGTGAGCACCACTGACAATTTTCCCAAGTCTGGATCAAAGTGTCGTAGCTTTGAGATAACTATGTCTCCTGCATGATGGCTCTGGCATCAGTGATTCAGTGCCTTGTGCCTTTCTTGGATGTGCTTTATCTGTTGGTTGTCTTTTTCAGTGCCTTTTTAAAAATATGACAGTATTTGCTTTTATCATCTTCTGCAGCCTATTTTGGTTGAAACTCTCAAAATAATCATGTAATGGACCATGATGGGCAATTACTTAGTTTCGCATGTGGTTCCCGCTGGAAACTGACACATAAATCTTAAACTTCTGTTCAAGCATTATTTCACAGGTTTGTTAAGGGTGACCAAAGTAGCTCCCAACCCTTGTTTTGGATAGATTTTGAGGGGTTGTCCAGGATTTGCAAACCTCTTGATGTCTTACACATTAAATACCTCTTACCACTTGCCCAGAAAGCAGCATGTGAGCAGCAGCTCAGCGGGGATTACTGAGCTGTGGAGTCAGGTGCCCCAGCACAGGTCACTGCTCTCTGCACAGCTGTGTGAACACACGGGCCCTGGCATTGTCTCAAAGGGCGTCCGCTAGACACGCACAGGTCATTTGTGCATCTCACACACAATGGTTCGTGCCTGTACGGTTACTGTTAAATCTTTACAAAACTAATTACAGTGCCCTGCTATTATTTACCGTCATCGGTTACTTAAGACTGCAAGGGTAGCTGTAATAGCTGTTCTGCTACGTATCAGGGACTGCTTCCTCGCTGATTAATTGATGGTAGTATCCTTCTTCCTTGCATGTATTGACTTCCTGTGGGAAGCAGGTGCCTCCTGCAGAGAGCGGTCA